TTTTTTTTTTTTTTTCAGTTATGGATTGTGTAACCTAGTATATAATGTAATTACATATTTTATTGCTTTACCGTGGTGGTGAAGTATGTAATACTGAATTCAAATACTGACATTTGCTACTGGATTGTTCGCTGTCTTCTCACCCATTCATATACTGTTTGTTTCAGCGGTCTTATGCTTTATTTATACTTCGGGTACCACGGGTAATCCAAAGCCTGCTGTTATAAAGCATTTTAGGTATAATATTATGCTTGCTTAATCAGGTAACAGGGTAATTATTTTTTTGGCAAAATAGTGTGATTTTTCTTTTGAGTTAAATTCTTTTTAATTGCTGTTGGTTGGTAATTAATAAAATGTTTGCTAAAAGTTGCTATTTGAAATTATTTTTGAAAGGCATTCTCGTCTTAAAAACATCACCGTTCTTAAATTATATATTTACTAGTAGTAATCTCAATAGTTTAGGTATTACTGGATGGCCATGGGAGTTAGTGAATCATTTAGGATTTGTTCTAATGATATTCTGTATATTACAATGCCGGAATACCATAGTGCAGCTGGAATATTGGGTGTTGGACAAACTGTTCTCCAGGGTTGTACTTCTGTAGTTCGAAAGCGTTTCTCAGCCAGCAGTTTTTGGAAAGACTGTGTGACGCATGGTTGTACTGTTAGTCAATACATTGGAGAAATTTGCAGGTACGAAACTGACAATTATCTTGTCATTCTTTGTTGTTGCACATTAATCTTAAATTTCAGGTACCTTTTAGCTCAGAAGACAGTACCAGAAGAAAAGGAACACAGAGTTCGACTTATGTTTGGAAATGGGCTTAGGCCGGAACTTTGGAGCGAATTTGTGTCTAGATTTGGGATTTCAAGGATAGGAGAATTATACGGTAGCACCGAAGGGAACTCGAATATAGGCAATTAGATTTCTGCTGTTTTTAAAGTTATTTTAGACCTTCTTTCTTCGTAATTTCATTCTCTATGAATTACTGCTAACACTTCTGGAAATACTTAATTGATTTTCCTTTTGGTGTAGTGCTTCCAGCACTTCATATTTATGGAAAGCGCATCAGTCGGTTTTAATACTGTTTGCAAAACTTGCTGTTTTTTTTTTTTGATCTCTTTAATATGTTTTAGTGAACCTTGACAATCATATTGGTGCTTGTGGTTTTTTCCCGATATATCCTGGTCTCACTGCTCTCTATCCTTTGAGGCTGATAAAAGTAGATGAAGAAACTGGCGAGTTCATTCGGGATAAAGATGGCCTGTGTGTTCCTTGCCGGCCTGGCGAGTTAGGAGAGGTTGTAGGTGTCATTCGAAATCAGGATATCTTATTGAGGTATTCACACTAACTTTAGCAACGGAAGTGTCGGCTATTTGTTGCATGTTCTCTGATATTTAGGTGCTATTAGTACGTTTGGCTGTAGTTAATCTTTCTCAAGCTCTTTTTTTAGATTTGAAGGTTACGTTGATAAAGAAGACACTGCTAAAAAAATTATTCGAAATGTTTTTAAAAAAGGAGACGCGGTGTTCACTTCGGGGGATTTGATATTTTGGGATGAATATGGGTACTTTTTTTTCAAGGATAGGAGAGGAGACACTTTCAGGTTTTTAACTTTTTCGTTCTTCCTTCCCAACCGCTATCACATTTTTTTGGCTTCTCATTTGAGAGCCTTTCTGCTTGAGGAAGGACAGTAATTGAATTTCTTCTGTCAAAAATAAAAGGTCTATTTTAGGTGGAAGGGAGAAAACGTGAGCACCACTGAAGTTGAAAGTGTATTTACTCCTCTTAAATCGGTCGCTGATGTTGCGGTTTATGGGGTTCGCATTCCTGGTGAGCATTTTGATTTTTTATAAGCTGACAGAAATGAATCGGGATTTTCTTATTTGTTTTCTTCTTTATTATGGCTAAAGTAGCTTTTGAAATGGTTTTTTCATCAGCAATTTTTTCTTCTAAGGTCATGAAGGACGTGCTGGTATGGCTGCCATAGTACTTAAGGGCGACGTTGATCTGGAAGTGCGGTTTTCCATTTGTTATTTTCCCCCTTTATTAACTTTTTGCTATGACTGGTTGATATAAAGTATTTTTTTGAAATTTGATTTTATTATTAAAAATTTCTCGAGGCGGTGGAAGCTGAAGTAGCAAGTTGAAGCTAGTTAGTTTAGTCTGCTTGATATTTGGAAAAACGGCAAAGAAGCATCTTTTGGAGCTTATAGTCTTGAATTTTCTCATCAACATGCATAAAAACTTATGGAGAATGTGTTTTATTTAGAAGACAGGGAAGTTAAATGCGGAAAGATAGAAATTTAATGGTTTAGAAAAAAGCATGTTAACATTTTCATTGCCAACTTTTTGTCTTTTCTCTTTTTTCTTTTCTATCTATAATGAGGTAATAGGAGGGAATAAAATATTTTGAGATAGTCTCAGTCTAATGCTTTCTTAATATGGTGTTGCTTTGCGAATAAAATTTGTTGAGATATAAGTAAGTTTTTTAGTAAAAGGGTAGATAAACGACTATTAGAGGCGTTTACTGCTGATCGTCTAAATCTGAAATCGATTTTACCAGTCAGTTTTTTGGTCAGTTTGGTATCTTATCCACAGCTTGCCTTTAGGAGATGATCGACGAGTTTTCTATAAATGTTTTACGTAGTCTTCCGTCTTATGGAATTCCAGTTTTCATTCGCATCTGTCAGGAATTTGATCGCACAGGTATGTTATTTGTTTCTTTTTTCTTCTTTTTCTTTGTTTTAAAAGCTGTTTTTATTGAATTTTTTTGCGGTAAAATTAGAAACTTCAAAACAGAGGTTAATTTAATTAATACTGTACAGGTACCTTCAAATTGAAGAAGATGCAGCTTCAGAGAGAGGGTTACGATCTAGAAACTTGCAAGGGCGATAATATATTTTTCTGGGATACCTCATTCAAGAAATATAAGTTAGTTCATATAACTTGCGTTTCACTTCTTGACTGAATATTAGAGGAATTTTTTATTTTATTTTTTAGGAAGCTGGATGCAGAATTGCAGCGTAACATCGAGAGACAAAGTGGTTTACGTATTTAATAAGTATTATGACTTCACACTTGTTTTTTTAAATGTCAGGGACTGGTTTTGCTGTTATAACGCAAAGTGTAAAGTTTGTTTTGTTATAATTGTAAACCGTTGAGTTTTTGTTTTTTTACAGCTTTCGTTTTTCTAATTTTTTTCTCTCCGGAGGCCAAATTTTTGAAATATTTTTGCGTTACTTTCAAACCCTTTACTTATCTGATTTGTGATTTTTACGACAATTTTGCCTAGTCTTGCCTTACTGATATCCGTACTTTACTCGTTGTTAACATAAGTCTTAACTAAGATAATGGTTTTTATTTTAGTCAGCTGAACAACTGTTTCTTTTATTTTTTAATGGTTTGTGGTTAGTAATAATTAGTTTTAGCTTTCTGAAATTTAATTTTTGTTTTCTTTCTCTGGTTACGATATTTTACAGTTTCAACACTGAACTTTCGAGTAGGGGTGTTTTTTTTTTTGTTAGAAGAGATTTTTTAATTTTTTTATTTGCTATAATACTTCATTTGCGTCCCATCTACCCCTTTATAGTCAGTCTTACGGATTTTTGTGACCATTTCTAATTGTTGCTCAAAACCGTTAACGGTGATTTTACCATCATTTTTAGTGATATTATTTGCTTGTATTTATCATTTACCTTTTTATCTGGCTTAAGTCAGTGGTTTCTGATTGATTATGTGGCTGTAATCTTTGGTTTTTTCTTTGCGTCCACAGTTATTGCCTATTCTTTAAATTAAGTGAAACTAGAATGGATTTCTAAATCTTTCAGTTCTGCATCTTCCAATGTTTGTTGTAAAAGAAAAGAAAAAAAGTTCTTCCGGAAAGCCGCACGAATTTTGCATCAAATAGAAATAGCCAGTGCTAGGTTATCGCAACTGACAATTTCCAGGCGTTTCTTTTTTTTTTTTTTTTTTTTGAAAGATCGTGTGAATAATTGTTTCGAGTATTTTGTTTGTACATAACGGATTATTGTTGAATCATTTCTCTGTCAGAATTTAAAGCAAAAACCATTCATCAACCATAAATGATTTGAACTTGATAGTTTTTTCTTAATTGTTCATAAATGAAGCTTTAATATTAGAGGAATTGCTTTAATCGTTACTTTTCTGCAAGCAGATAGAGAAACAGGCTAGAAACACTTTCGCGGGCCTCATATTTATCAGGAGGTTGCATATAGCGAAATGAGCTACTAATGGTTCTATTGAAAAGACACCATTGTTTAGAATGGGCTTTTTAGAAACACTTGGTCGGAGGCTTTGTAATTTGGCAAGACAGTTGAGCCAAAACGGCTAAATGTCATTTTCGGCTTAAAAGTTACTGCGATTCGTTTTACTCGCTTGCTGTCAGTAATCATCAAGACCTCAGCAGGGTGGGACTGATTGTTTTGTTGGGCAGGTCTGACTGTGATCAGGTTGCGAATTTTCGGTGTGTGGGAGAGCTTTTTTTGTTAAAGATATCCGGAGCTTGCATTGTTTGTCTTCTGCCATTTCAAAGTTAGGTCACTTTTAATCATCCTTCGTGTCCGACCTTGCAGACCTGTCCAGTCAATTCTAGATCGTCTGAATTAATCTGGTGTTGATCCTTGGACACAACCGGTGCTCTTCATTTTTGGGGAATTTAGTATTTTTGTGCTTTGAAGAATGGCTCAAAGTTGAGTTATATCTCCTCTAAATCGGTTACGCCTAATTTTAAAGTCAATTTTTCCAACAGTGGATTTTGTACTAAATGAAGATATGAAGTATTACATTGCTCTTAATGACCTCTTTATTTGAGAGTAAATATGATTGGGTTTGCCTAAGGGGGTTGGTAAAGATACCACTTTTGGACCTCGTTTGACGACTGCTGCAAGGCTGTCACGTTTTCACTCTCGCACACACCATTTTCTACCGTTTAACCTCTTCAGGTTTTGCTTTCACATTATTGTCGTTTTCTGGCGCTATTTTAGCTTGTGGGCGAAGATTGGGCTTTTCAGAAGTGAAGAGATGGTCCGTGGAGGATTTCTTTGAACTTTGTTTAAGTATTGTTCCTGAAGTGGTTAATAAGTACGCTTTTTCATGTGATTCAGGAATATATTTGTTTTTTCGTTGTGGTCGCTAATACGTTAGTTGTGTTGGATTACAGCGTTTCTTATTAAATCTTTTTTTCTAAACCTGTATCGGAGGATGCATAACACAATTCGTGACGAATTCTCAAGTTGACAGATAGATATATTGCGTAGAATGAAATTTTGTGGCGTCAATCCTCCTTGTCTGACATTGAAAACGTGGCACAATACATAAAGTCTAGCTGTACAAACAAAGTTATCATATAACAACATTTGGAGGTTTCAGGGAAGTAACAAATCTAACAACTTTAATGTACATCATTAGTAAGAGGGAAACAAAGGAAAAAAAAAAGATGAAAGACAAGTGTTACGTATGGGACCCGTTGAAATGGACGATGAGTGGCGCGTCATTCAAGCCACCTATATTAACCGTTCTTCTAAAGGCGCTTTAAGTAAAGAGCTCATCTGAAATTGACAACAATAAGATGATTGATGAAATGCTGATAGAACTAAAGAAAAAAATTTCGTGCAGTTACAGCCCGGAAGCGAAACGAGTTAAGCAAGTCACATAAAATACAATTCTTATATAGCGCCACGACAAAGATGCTAAATGTTCTAAGACAAAGAATACAGGGAAATTTCCATATGGAAGACTCGGGTTGTTTGTTAGTAGAAGTGTTAGATGCACTCTTTTGACACAGCAAGTTTTTCCTTTTTTCTTTTGAAACTTAGCTGAGCAGAGAAGGGGGAATTAGAACTTGCTCGCAATGGACGCTGAGGATGCTGTTCTATATGAAGCTGGCTGAAAGACTTACAGTCACCGATCTCATTAGGCAATTTCAACTCAAAAACTTCGTCTATTAAACCTGTTAAGACCTTGACATTCGTTTGAAAGAGTAAGCAAGAGATGCTAACTTCTCATATAAAAAGTAGTGCTTTACTTATGAGGTTAGACGAATTTGTAGAATTTATTTGGAGAGACGGAAAATTCAGCTTTTAAATATAAGCAAGTTTCCGTTTTCCCTCATTGAGGGCTGTGTGAAGAAGATATCAACCATACGCTTATATTCACTTTTGAACTCGGCGGTATGGCAGTTTTGTTCTTTTTCTTGGATAGGGGAGGAATAGTGGCCAAACGAAAGTTTTTTTGTTGACTGTTGAGGAATACTGGTAAATTTCAAACACCTCCTCAAACAAAGTCATTTTCAATAGAAAAAAAATGCATCTGTATCTATTGCTGAGTTGTCTTTGACAGAGTTTTGGCTTCAAATTTACAGATTTTGAAAAGAAAGTAATCAGAATTTCACCAAAATATGGCAAGTACTGTTATCAATTTCCATGCCTTAAAAATCAGTTGAGGTTTTGAGGAGTAATCAAAAATCAGTCTAGAGAATGCTTACTGGCAATCGAGAGCTAGTTATTTCTTGACCAGATGGGCTGTACGTTCCCTGGATACGTCTGCGCCCTTTTAACGTCACGATTCCCAGTAATACACAACCAATTACTATGAACGCAACTAAAACTGCAATGACGGGCCCAGCAATATAACCAAGGGATACTGACCTGAAATTCACAAACTTTTTCAAAAATTAGCTGAAAATTTTTCAGACCAACAAGTATGACCTTTACCGTCTTTAATATATAAATATATAAAACTATCAGGTTTGAAGTTTATTAAAAAGTGAAGCTGTCAATTTATTGTTAGGCCAAATAATTTGAATAGTTTTTAAAGAAGAAATATATACGAGAACCTGCAACTGAAATTAATTAAGCTTACCTCTTTTGTCCTATAATTTCACTACACTGTGCACCTGTATACCCTGTAAAACATTCACATTCATAGTGCACGACTTCCTGACCTCCACCATCAAGTACTACACTTGGATGGACACATTTACCGTGCAAACAGTCGTGCATCGTTTGATTTTCCTTGTCTGGTAAACAAGGATCCTCTTTGTTACAATTTTTTCCTATGTAGCCTAAAAACAAATATTTTCTGCAACTTGGCGTACTCACAAATTTGTGGATGCACAATTACCAAATTACAAGAAGTTCAAAGCTGGAACTAAATTAGCATCGAACCAAAATCGCATTCACAGTTGTACGACCCAAGAAGGTTATGACAGAAGCCATTTTTGCATAAACCTTCAGAACACTCGTCAACGTCTTCGCCACACCTTTGGCCTTTATAGCCTGTTCCAGCGCAGTCGCATTCGTATCCATTTATCCTGTCTGTACACCTTCCACCATTTAAACAAGCGTTATCCATGCAATCATCGATATCA